ACGGAAAGGCACAAACTACAAGATGCAAGCAAGTGCAAGTGAGCGCACAGCGAACAGTTAGTTTATCCAAGGTGCGTCATGAACCCGGTCCGCTCAAACATATCCTCATCGCGCCGCACTAGTGCGTTCCCGCACGCTTTTTGGTTCAAGGTGCCGCTACCATGCGCAAAAATACGTTTGCTTTGATTTCACACGCTTGCCCCATCTCAAGGTGTTTAAAGGTAGAGGGAAGAAGGGCATTCCTTCGACATAACCAATGTTCTTCGCAAAAACTAGCAAAGGCTACGTTGACCGCAGCCCCAGGAAAACGGGGATCCCCCCAAGCCAAGCTGCACGGTGTTGCTTGCGAAGGCCAATTGTTAGGCGGAAGAAGCGGCAGAACGCCTCGCTCTCCTAGAGAGTGCATTGGTTCTTTTGAAAAATTCCCTAGACTCTCAAAAATATGTTGACTTGCATGTTGATAAACTTTAAAACATGTTGACTTAACAGCGTCTCGGCCCAAAGACGCAGGGAGCTCCTTGGCGCAGTCAGACCAGGAGAACCAGTTCAACTCATCCTGGCACCAGGTGTTGTTGTTCCCTCCTGCGTGCGTCGCAAATCGTCGCGAAGATGCCTGCAAGCTCAGGTGTGATAGCGAATGTGCTGCAAGAATCAAAGATCTAACTAGTGAGCAGCATGGGATCAAACTTAAAACTAGACGACGAGTGGCCCGGAAGCATAGAGGCAAGTTGATGCAGGTGAGGTAACTCTTGAAGTAATTCTCGCAAAGTTGACATGAGAAGTTGGCAGGCGAAGTAACTCAAGAGAAAAGTTGGCATGAGAAGTTGGCAGGTGAAATAACTCTCAAAGAGTTGGCATGAGAAGTTGGCAGGTGAAGTAACTCTCGAAAAGTTGGCGTGAGAAGCTGGCAGGTGAAGTAAGTCTCGAAAAGTTGGAACGAGAAGATGGCGCGTGAAGTAACTCTCGAAAAGTTGGCGTGAGAAGCCGGCAGGTGAAGTAACTTTCGAAAAGTTAGCATGAGAAGTTGGCAGGCGAAGTAATTCTCGAAAAGTTGGCGCGAGAAGATGGCAGGCGAAGTAACTCTCGAAAAGTTGGCAGGCGATGTTGGCAGGTGAAGTACCTCTCGAAAAGTTGGCATGAGAAGCTGGCAGGTGAAGTAATTTGCGAAAAGTTGCCACGAGAGGTTGGCAGATAAAGTATTTCTCGAAAAGTTGGCATGAGAAGTTGGCAGGTGAAGTAATTCTCGAAAAGTTGGCAGGTGAAGTTGCCACGAGAGGTTGGCAGGTAAAGTATTTCTCGAAAAGTTGGCATGAGAAGGTGGCAGGTAAAGTAATTCTCGAAAAGTTGGCATGAGAAGCTCGCAGGTGTAGTAACTCTCGAAAAGTTGGCATGATAAGCTCGCAGGTGAAGTAACTCCTCGAAAAGTTGGCACGAGAAGTTGTGGTAACTCTCGAAAAGTAGCATGAGAAGCTGGCAGGTGAAGTAATTCTCGAAGTTTCGGCATGAGAAACTGGCAGGTGAAGTAATTAACCCTCAAAAAGCTGGAGCGGCGGAGGCGCTCCGCGTGCTACAATTGCAATTTACAGTTGCGATTTTCCAGCCATTTGTATCTAAAAGTTGCGATTTTCCAGCCGGAGCTGCGGGAGCACGCTCCGCGTACTACGTCTGTACTTAAAAAGTGCGTTTTTCCAGCCGGAGCTGCAGCAGCCTCCGCGTACTACGTCTGTACTTAAAAGTTGCGATTTTCCAGCCGGAGCTGCAGGAGCACGCTCCGCGTACTACGTTTGTGCTTAAAAGCTGCGATTTTCAAGCCGGAGCTGCCGCGGACCAGGGGGGAATCGAACCCGGGACCGCGGGATTGCGAAAGCAGGCGCGCACACCACGAGACAACTTCCAAAAGCCGTTTCGCGAGCAAGAAGCGAGAGCGCTTCGACACGCACGATCCCCGCAGAGGGTTCATCGGGCTCAAGATCTCCGCAGAGGGTTCGCCAAGGTCAAGACAAATTCGCACGGCGCCACAGCGAGAGCGCTTCGACACGCACGATCTCCGCAGAGGGTTCGCCGCACTCAAGACAAATTCGCACGGCGCCACAGCGAGAGCGCTTCGACACGCACGATCCCCGCAGAGGGTTCGCCGCGCTCAAGACAAATTCGCACGGCGCCACAGCGAGAGCGCTTCGACACGCACGATCCCCGCAGAGGGTTCATCGGGCTCAAGACAAATTCGCACAGCGCCACAGCGAGAGCGCTTCGACACGCACGATCTCCGCAGAGGGGTGCGTTTCGTAAGCTCCCGTCGGGCCTACCCCCGCCATAAAAAGAAGAAGAATTAAGAGTCGAGATGTGAAGGTAGAACAGAAAAGTTAGCTTGTGTTTTTAGGATAGTGAAGTAACACCCGACAAATTAGATTGTGCTTTTAGTAGAATGAGATAACAGCCGAAAAGTTGACATGAGAAGTTGGCAGGTGAAGTAACTCTCAAAAAGTTGACATGAGAAGTAGGCACTCTCGACAAGTTGGCATGAGAAGTTGGCAGGTGAAGTAACTCTCGACAAGTTGGCATGAGAAGTTGGCAGGTGAAGTAACTCTCGACAAGTTGGCATGAGAAGTTGGCAGGTGAAGTTGGCAGCCGCTTTTAGAAGAAGAACCCTTCGCAATGCTTCCGGGAAAAAACAGACCCCTCCCTATGCGCTTGTTTTTTTTGGAGGGGGGGATTTGTGTTTTTGCTTTTGGCTTCTTGGCTTCTTGGCTTTTAGGCTGCTTGTTTGGCTTTCGCATCCTCTGCATTCCCAGTTCCTCTCTGGCAAGTGTTCTTGATATTCATGCTCACGTATGTCTGCACGTATGTATGTAGTCTGTGTAACCTACTTATACATGTATGTATGTATGTATGTATGTGTATGTGTGTATGTATGCACTTCTTCAAACAACATAGGGGAAGCCAACCCTGCCAACATTGTCATCATTCTTTCGAACATCATGGGGTGGGGGCGGCAGGCGGCAGCCTCCCCCAAATGCCCCGCTACTTCTTTAGATTTCTTACAGAGATTTAATTGCATCCCTATTTGAACCATTACTACTTTGAACATCATGGGGGGGCTGCCGCACCACGCTACTTTTTTCATTTTCTACAGGCATGGACTTGCACCTCTAATTGAATCATCATTTGTTCGTATGTGTTCAGTGGGGAAAGCGAAAAACGTGCCATTTAGATGGCTTGAAGCGTGTCATTTTTCGTGCCCCTGTGGGGGAATCGTAGCTTCTCAAGCTCGACGTGTCGTTTCGCTGCGCAGGCGCAGTGTTTTGGAAGGCTGCGTGTTCTCGTTGGTGCCAATGGGATTTGCGATCCAGGGTGGTCGTTTTGAGGTGTCCTGCTGGCAGGCGCCTTGAAACATGTCAAATTTGGTCGAAATCATTCTGGCGTTACAGTCCCGCATGCGATGCGAGAGTGTCAAATTCTGATTTCGTGGCAGGCGCAGGATTTTGAGCCTTTCGCATGTCGCTGTAACGCGATTTTTCGTGACAGGCGCAGCGCTTTAGAGCTTTTCGTGCAGATTTCGTGGCAGGCGCAGCACATTAGAGCTTGTCGTGCAGATTTCGTGGCAGGCGCAGCACTTTCCAGCTTGCGTGCAGATTTCGTGGCAGGCGCAGCACTTTCGTTGGGTCGAGTCGCTCTCGCTGTGGCGCGGTGCGCGTTTTCAGCACGCAAAGTGAACCTTCTGCGCTGGTCAAATCGCTCTGTCTGCGGCGCGGCAGCGTATTTTGAGATTGCGAAGTCGTGAAGAAACACGTGAGGGTGTGACACGAAACGCGAGTAGGGTCGTGGCAGGATCTCCAAGAAAGACGTGACGGGAGATGGACGTAGTCGTGAGGCGCGTCCAGACACGTGATGAAAGATAAGATGAAAGTCATGACGAGAGACGTGGCCAGAGTTGCTACGACAGACGTGACAAAGGACGTGGCCGTGGCGATAGATGTGACAAGAAACGTTTTTACGTGAGATGCGACAAGGACAAGGAACAAAAAGAGAGACGTGACAAGAGACGCTGTTACGAGAAACCTGACAAGGGGCGTGACCAGTGAGACACCACCAGAGACGTGACACACAAAAAAGAGGAATAGCCAGAGACTTTGCCTGGCGAGGAGAGACGTGACGAGATTGGGCCAGAGACGTGGCGAGAGATGTGACAAGAGACGTGGCGCGAGGGCCGACGACTCATGCGTGACAAGAGGCGTGACGAGAGTCACCAAGAAGGAAACGCGACGGAGTCATGACGACAGGCGCGGCGAGAAAAGTGATAAAGGACCAGAGACGCGACTTGAGGGGCGACGACTCACATGACAAGAGACATGACGGGAGTCGCCAAGAAAGACGTGATGGGAAGAGTAGTGACGAGAAGGCGCAGCGAGACACATGATGACAGGTTTGACAAAAGTCATGACGAGAGACGTGGCCAGAGTTGCTACGAGAGACGTGACAATGACGTGACCCGAAGTGACCAGAGACGTGACTATAGAAACGTGACTAGAGACGCGACGCGAGATGTGACAAGAGTCCGCTTTCGTGTCCGCATTCGGGTTCGTGGCTTCTATCAGGTTCTAAATAAAGAAAACAAAAAACGAACAAGACAGAGCCCACGAACCCGAATGCACATCACTTTGCGCAAGCCCAAAAATCAGTAGAGAGAACATTTTCGGTTTAAGCCAATGGGGCTCGCAATCAAGCCAACTGCGCAAGCTATGTTTTTCAGCTTGTAAAACTGTACTTTGCGTGCTCCACTTGTTTGCTACAAAGTTACGATTTTCAATCTGGAGATGGACACCTTACCTGCGCTTCGCGCGCTAGACTTGTACTACAAAGTTGCGATTTTCCAGCCGGAGCTGGAAAACTGTACTTCGCGCGCTAGACTTGCGCTACACAGCTGCGATTGTCCAGCTAGAGCTGAAAACCTGTACTTTGTACGCACTAGACTTGTACTACCCAGTCGCGATATTCGAGCTGGAGCTCAAAACCTGTACTTCGCGTACTATACTTGACTTCAAAGCTGCGATCTTCCAGCCAGGAAACTTGCGCTTCACGCACTATACTTGCAATACAAAGTTGCGATTCTCCAGCTGGCGCTGGAAACCTGCACTTCGCGCACTACGCTTGTACTTAAAAGTTGCGATTCTCCAGCTAGAGCTAGTACTACAAAGTCGCGATTTTCCAGCTGGAGCTGGAAGCCTGTACTTCGCGCATTAGACTGGTACTACAAAGTTGCGATTTTCGAGCTGGAGCTGGAAACCTGTACTTCGCGCACTAGACTTGCACTTCAAAGTTGTGATTTTCCAGAAATCTGTACTTCGCGAGGGTTGCGATTTTCCAGCTAGAGCTGGAAACCTGTACTTCGCGCACTAGACTTGCGCTACAAAGTTGCGATTTTCCAGCGTGTGCTAGACTTCTGAGCGACACGTCTGAGCACAACTTCTGATTGACACCGCTTTTACTGATCGACTTTTCTGAGCAACACCTCTGGTCGACACTTCTGACCAACGCTTTTGATCCGCAAACCTGATTGACACTTCTGATCGACAGTTTGAGCAACACTGCACTTCTGCTCCACACTTCTCATCGACAGTTCTGAGCAACACTTCTGACAAACACTTCTGATCCACACTGCTCATCGACACTTCTGAGCAACACTGCTGAACTGACACTTCTGGGCAACACGTCTGCTCGACACTTTCGAGGAACCCTTCTCATCAGTATTTCTGAGCAAGACTTCCGACCCACACTTCTGATCGACACTTCTGATCGACACTTCTGATCCACACTTCGGATCGACACTTCTGATCCACACTTCTGATCCACACTTCTGAGCATCCGGTCAACGCTTCTGATCCACACTGCTCATCGACACTTCTGAGCGGCACTTCTGAGCAACACTGCACTTGTGATCGATGCTTCTAATCCGCACTTCTGATCGATACTTCAGAGCGACACTTCCGCGCAACACTTCTGAGGGAGCAACGCTTCTGATCCACACTGCTCATCGACACTTTTGAGCAACACTTCTGATCGACACATCTGCTCGACACTTCTGGTCAACACTTCTGATCCACACTGCTGAGCAACACTTCCGACCGACACTTCCGAGCAACACTCTTGAGCAACACTGCTGATTCGACACTGCTGATCGACACCCCTGACCGACACCTCTGAGCAACACTTCTGACCGATGCTTCTGATCAGCACTTCCGAGCAACACTTCTGAGCAAACACACACACACACACATGTAAGCGACGCTTTTGAGCGGCACTTCTGAGCGATACCTCTGAACAACACTTCTGGGCAACACTGAGCGGCACTCCTGCGCGACACTCTGAAAAGACCTTTGAGCGACACGTCTGAGCCACGCCAATTTGAGCAACATTTCTACACACATATCTCAGTGACATGAGCGACACTTCTGAGCGAAGCCTCTCAGCAATGAGCGATACCCCTGAGCAACACTTTTGAGCACGTTTCTGCGATGAGCAACACTTTTGATTGACACTGTGCGCAGAAGGTTCGCTTCGCGTTTGCAAAATGTGCGCCGCGCCACAGCGAGAGTGATCTGGCCGAGTCAAAGTGACGCGCTTGCCACGAAACCTACACTTCTGAACCACACTTTTTCTGATCGACACTTGTGAGCAACACTTCTGAGCGACCACTTTTGAGCAACACTTTTGATCCGCACTTGTGCTTGACACTTGTGATCGACAGTTTGAGCAACACTGCTGAACCACACTTCTGATTGACACTGATGAGCAACACTTCTGATACAAAATTCTCATCGACAGTTCTGAGCAACACTTCTGACCAACACTTCTGAGCAACACTGCTGAATTGACACTTCTGAGCGACGCTTCTGAGCACTGCTGACTTGACACTGTTGAGCGACACTTCTGAGCAACACTTCTGATTGACACTTCTGAGCGACACGTTTGAGAGCGACACTCTTTCTGATCGACTTTTCTGAGCAACACTTCTGATTGACACTTCTGAGCGACACCTGGTCAACACTTCTGAACCACGCTCTTTCTGATCGACACTTCTGAGCAACACTTGGACGCGACACTTGGACGCGACACTTTTGATCCGCACTTGTGCTTGACACTTCTGATCGACAGTTTGAGCAACACTGCTGCACCACACTTCTGATTGACACTGATGAGCAACACTTCTGACCCACACTTCTCATCGACAGTTCTGAGAAACACTTCTGACCAACACGTGATCCACCCTGCTCATCGACACTTCTGAACGACACTTCTGAGCAACACTGCTGAATTGACGCTTCTGAGCGACACTTCTGAGCAACACTTCTGATCGACACTTCTGAGTGAGCAACACTTCTGACCCACACTTCTGATTGACACTTCTGAGCGACACCTGCTCAACACTTCTGAACTACACTTCTTCTGACCAACACGACACTTTTTCTGATCGATTTTTTCTGAGCAACACTTCTGATTAAAACTTCTGGGCAACACTTTTGATCCGCACTTCTGATTGACACTTCTGATCGACAGTTTGAGCAACACTCCTGAACCACACTTCTGATTGACACACTGATGAGCAACACTTCTGATCCACACTTCTCATCCACAGTTCTGAGCAACACGTTTGATCCAGACTTCTGATCTGATCAACAGTTCTAATCTGACAACATTTCTGAGGGACACGTCTGAGCAACACTTCTCAGCAACGCTTCTGTTCGACACCTGATCGACACTTCTGGCGACACTTCTGCTCGACGCTTCCGAGCAGCACTTCTGTCGACACTTCCGATGAGCGACACTTTTGATCGACACTTCTGAACGACACTTCTACTCGACACTTGTGATGGACACTACTTCTGAACGAAACTTCTGTCTCCAAATGCGCACCGCGCCACAGCGAGAGCGATTCGACCCACACAAAGCGCGCAGAGGGTTCACTTTGCGCGCTCAAAATGTTCACCGCGCCACAGCGAGAGCGATTCGACCCACCCGATGTGCGCAGAGGGTTCACTTCGCATGCTCAAAATGCACACCGCGCCACAGCGAGAGCGATTTGACCCACCCAAAGTGCGCAGAGGGCTCGTTTCGCATGCTCAAAATGCGCACCGCGCCACAGCGAGAGCGATTTGACCCACCCAAAGTGCGCAAAGGGTTCGCTTTGCGTTCGCAAAATGCGCGGCGCGCCACAGCGATATCGCTGAGTCAAAGTGACGCGCTTGCCACGAAACCTACACCCAGTGCGCACCGCGCCACAGCGAGAGCGATTCGACCCGCCCAAAGTGCGCAGAGGGTTCGCTTCGCGCGCTCGAAATGTGCACCGCGCCACAGCGAGAGCGATCTCGCTGAGTCAAAGTGACGTGCCTGCCACGAAGTTTGCACGAAAAGGTCCAAAGTGCCGCGCCAGCCACACAATTCAACCAAAATGCTCGAAAGTGCTGCGCTTGTCACGCAAAGTAAGCTTGCCACAAACTCAAAATCATCCAAAGTGCTGGCCCTGCCACGAAACCCAACTTTGACACGTTTACGACACGCATCCAAAACTAGCATGGGACTGTGGCGCCAGAATGATTTCGACATGTTTCAGGCCCGCCAAAACAAGCCGATTGTACGACAGGGCCAACCGGCGCAAACACTATGACGCGCCTGCCAAGCAGGACACCTCAAAGCGACCACCCCTGGATCGCAAATCCCAATGGCGCGGCAACGAGAACACGCAGCCTTCCAAAACACTGCGCCTGTGCAGCGAAACGACACGTCCAGCTTTGAGAAGCTACGATTCGCGCACAGGGCCACGAAAACAGCCCTTGCCGATCCATCAAAAACACGCTTCCACGACGAATGCCATTGGCACACGCTTGTCGCCCCACCGCGGTGGGTTGCGGACGGTTGCGGACGGTTGCGAACTCTGGAGCAACTCCTTGCGAACACGGCCTCCACCCCCAGACCCCCACTTATAACGAGAACCCTTCGCTACGCATTCGGGAAAAATACCCTCCTCAAACTATTGCCAGAACAAAAGGTGCGTGAGCCAAATCAGCAGCAGCAGCAGCTGCTGCAGCTCCCACTGAATCTGTATGTGTTCCTGCCAATGCCCTGCCAGCGAGCTTGTTTACGTGGGCCATCTGAAGTTTAAGCCTTGTGGCCTCAGAGTGAGTGCAAATGACCCGTCTCCTTGGCTGCGGCCGTACCTTGGAGACAAATCAGCTTTTCATTCCAAAGTCTTCTGCTAGGACAATGGCACACGGGGCAATGACACGCGTGTAACTCACAGCTTTGACCACTGCCAAAGCAAACCTTCTTGTGCTTAAAGCAGGAACCAAACACTTCCTGACACGCGAGGTTCGCTTCAGACATCTTCAGACTCATTGTATTCTTGGCAGGCGACTCATCTCCTGATGTTACCATGGGTGTTCCAGCTGAGAGGAAGAGCGCCATCAGCATGTTGCGCATCCTGAGCGGAAGCTTGAGCCACGGCTTCCGTGAGACTGATTTGCAACGTGCGGCAAGCGGCACGACTTCCCATGCCGAGTCTCTGCCGATCGCGGAGCTTCATGACCTCTGGATTGTTGCTTGGACCATCCTGGCCTTCCTGGGCACAGTTCCAAGAGACGTTGTTGTCTTCGCCGCTTTCCTCGTTGTTCACGTGGTTGTTCTTCTTGTTGTATGACACCAAGTCGCCTGCAACCGCCCGCAAGCCAATCTCCCAAGAAGGCTGTCGGTACAACAAGGCGACTCAGCTTCAACTTCGTTCTTTTGTTGATTGTCCTGCTTCCTCTTCACAAGTTTCGAGAACTCATCTGAGGCCCTGACGAAGCGTAAACCCATCATGTGCCTGGTGCTCGGCTCGGTTTTTCACGGCAATTTCCTTTTGCATGTATCAGCTCCCTTTGCACACTTGCAAGTGCTGAAGGTGCATTTCGAGCATGGAAAGGATCATTCTCGACGGGCCTTTCGCCGCCTTTTGCTGCCTTGTGTC